TAGGGTTTAGGGTTGATTTGGGGATACTATGGTACCCAATATAGAGTAAGATTATATCCTCCTTTTGGGGTATAGTCTTTTATATAAGAACCAGTGGGCTTAGGGCTTCTAGGGTGGATTTAGGGTTTAGGCTTGAGGGTGTAGGGTTTAGGCTGCAGGGTTTTGGGTGATTCCTTTTTGGGGGGAGAGATGGGCAGTTTCTAGGGCTTTAGCATTTGGGTGGTTTGGGGTTTGGGGGCTTCGAGTGTTCAGTAGAGTTTGGCCCTAGTTTGTTTCATAGATCCAGGCTTTGCAAGCACCAGACGGCAGCCATTCATTTTGATGGGTTTACAGGGTATGAGTGTCTAGGGTTCCAAGTCGGTCAGAGGCTTGTGCATTCAGAGACAGGCCTAGGATTTGGGCCCCAGGGTTTCCAAGAAGACTCCAAGAGAAAGAATGGAATGTGACATGGAAACTACTATTTACGGTTTTGGGCTAAGGGCAGACTGGCAGCAACATGTCGTTGCAACGCGGGCGGTGTTAATGCTTGCAGGCCACTATCGTTCTAGATCTTCCGATGAGGAGCTGTATGTGGTGGAGTGTTTATCACAGTTACATCGCCTCTTCAAGTAGGAGGTTAAAAGTCATTTTGCTTCACATGCCGTAAACCCTAAACTTTCGTTCCTAACCCCTTAAACTGTAAGGCCTAAAATCTGAATCTTACCTGCTCAAAGCCTACCCTAAACCCTACACCCCCAACTTTGACATTTAGACTTTGACTTGCGCCAAAATCTTGACATCTCCCTTGCAAGGGCCCTTATCAGGCATTATCAGACCACGAGGCCTATGTTAGGGTCCAGGAATTCGGGTTTAGGGTTTAGGGGTTAGGGATTGGGATTTACTGTGGGTGCTTCAAACCTAAATCCCATCACCTTAACGCCCTGAAATCCTAAGATCCATAGAGCTTTCAAGACTGATACCTTCTTCCCTAAACAATGAGTAAGCCAGGTGTTAGCAGCCTGGGTATCAGCAGGCGATATGGAGAAGGTGCAGGAAGTTTGGCAGGACGGTCAGGGCTTTGGTTTTCAGGGTTTTGGGCTTGGGGTTCTGCTGAGTGTGTATTTACTTGCGAAACATCCTGGAGATGCCTCTAACTGGGGATGAGGTGGAAGCCCCCGGCAATTTGGCTGTGGGAGAGTCTAGACTAGAATGACTTTCCACAATGATTTTCACCACTCAGGTTGTTTTAAAGCCCAACGAGGGACATTTATTTCATCAATGCCCCTTTTCAAACAGCGTCCCAGAAGGGGAAAAGTATGGTTGGTTAGAGGGGCACGATGGAACAGTGTTATACCCATTACTTAGTTTATCGATATATGACTGTTATAGAGTAAAGGCAAGTCAAGAGCCCAACCCCAAAACCTTAAAGGGCAAGTCAAGAACTACCCTAAACCCTAGACCCTAAACCCAAAACCCTAAACCCTAAAGGGCAAGTCAAGAACTACCATCCTACAAGAGGTTGCCGTCTGGAGTAATGCACGTCGAGGACCCTTGTGGCAGAGCTTCTGCCTAGCCCCGTTTAGGACTTGGGTTTAGGGGGGTTTAGGGTTAAGGGTTCAAGAGGTTCAAGGGGATCTCAACATTCGCCCTACTTAGCCAGTTTCTGTATACCATACCCCCTATACAGCATGTAGCGACCATTGGTAACCCCACCCCAAGGGTCCAAGGACACTAAGAATAGGCTTTCAGGGCCCAAATACTACAATATTAATCGCGCTTGGGCCCTAAAACCTATTATTGGGGTCCTTGGACCCTTAGCACCAGTTATAAACATTGTTAACCTACTTCCCAGGTCCCTTCACAAGTATGGAATCTTTTGTCGGGATCCCAATGAGCTGGCTTGTGATCCCCTAATCCCCGCCCCTAAACCCTAAAGTCTAAAAACCTAAACCCAACCCTAAACCCCAAACTCTAAACCCAACCCTCAACTCTCAACCCTAAAGTCTAAACCCTAAACTCTAACCCTTAACCGTGCACATGGGTCCAAAAAAACCAGAGAACAACCTCCGGTTGCCCTCTGATCTGGTTCTTCAAAGGGTCTCTGCATCATTCCTAATAAGGGCGGCCAAAAATCTACCCAAACCCTCAAGCCTCCACCTGAAACCTAACACCCTAAAACTCAAAACCCTAAGCACCAAACACTCAAAATCCCCAACAACACAACACCCTGAAACCGAACGCCTAAAACCCAAACCCTAAACCCCAATCCCCATGCATCCGAGGGGTTGCTAGAGGCTCCTCCATGTTGAGAAACCCCATGAAACACCAACCACTAAGGTTTAGGGTTTAGGGAGTGGGGGAGTGAATACAGGTACCAGTATAGGGGTACATACGGGGCATATGTAGGGATTATTAAGGGATCCGCTCCACGACTCTCCCTTAAGCACCAGTAAGTTAAGCATATACCCCTCCAAATCTCCAAATTCTCGCATTTTCCAAAAGATCCTTGTAGCCTCTGTACAGTGCCACTAGGATTCAAGCATTTAGGGACTACAGCCTCATGAACTAGATGCTTGAATTCAATACTTAAACCCAAAAACTTAAACTCAAAACCCTATGACCTAACCATAATCCCTAAACCCTAAACCCCCCAAAACCCCGGTAAAACCTAATGCATGAACCCTACACTCTAATCCCTAAACCCTACCTATTCCATATAACCCTACACTCTAATTCCCTAAACCCTAAACCCTAAACTCCTTAGGAGCTTTCAAACTCCGACTCTGGTGTCATCCCTGATGACGACTGCTACTGTGCAGTGCTTCAGAGCGCACCTAGGCTCAAGTTTAGGACTTGAATAGGGGTTATATGAGTTGTAGGGATCTATTTAGGGTTTTTGGGGGGTTTAGGGTTTTAGGGTTTAGGGTTTTGGGGGGTTTAGGGTTCAGGGTTTCCTCCAACTAGGGGTACCTTTTTGGGGTCCCCATCATAAGGATTATAGTATATTGGGGTCTACGTTGGGGTCCCTTTATTTTGGGAAACTACCATATCGGGATTTTATAGGGATTACACAGGGTTATATTGGGAGAATGGAAGAGAAAGTGGAAGCCCTAAACCCTAAACCCTAAACCGTGTTTTTTGGGTTTAGGGTTTAGGTTTCAGGGTTTTGGGGCTTTGGGTTGTCCCAGGCTCAGGGCAGAGTGTGACAAGAACCAGATTTCTATAGCTTTATATGCAGTGTTTTTATCTATAATATATACATATGTGTAGGTTTAAATGTAGGGTTATGTAGATGGTTATATAGGGTCTGTGGCTCTATGGTTGTTTTTTTGTGTCATTCCAGCAGTTTTCTTGGTGGGGGAAGCCCCGGGAGAAGCATCACGGTGATACGGCAGACATTTTGTACCCTAAACACGGGTTTAGGGTTTAGGGTTTAGGGTTTGGGGTGGTCCAGCTGGTAGGACAGACTCTTTAAAGTTGGGTTTCTAGAGCAGGGTCCTCATCAGCTAATTGATACCCTGAATCGTAAGCCCCTTTATAGCACCCAATACTCTCCTTATGAAATCGCTAAGATCCCTAGAGCGCCTGCATTTAGTGAAAACTCTTATACAGGCATGTATTTACACCCTGAACCCTTAGCCAAATCCCCAAACCTTTGCGACCCTAAACCCCACACACTGAGCCCTGAATCCTACACTCTAGACCATGTGCCGTCGGGCTTCCCGGAGAACATTGGAGAGATGCGTGATAATATGATTCTCCTAAAAGACATGCCGCGAGTCATTAGTGTGGACAATTAAATGGACCATGCAATGGAAACCAGTCTCAAATGGTTTCTTGTCTCTTCTACTCAAAGACTTCAAGTTTGTGCCCTTAATGTTTGTAACCCTAGGTTTTGGGTCCCAAATACCCTCATTAAGGGCCATATTCCATGGTTTAGGGGCCCAAAACCCAAGGGTACAAACCCTACGGGTACAAAGGACAACTCCCTGATCTAGGGAATGAAGGAATGGATCCCATAGCAGAGTGGCTCCCATGCTCTTTTCAAGGAACAACATTTAGGGCCTAAAGGGTTAGGTTCAGGGTAAAGGAACAACATGCTTTACTGACAATCAGCATTTGTTCGAATGCTGTCGTCATCGCTACGGTCCCCACATTATACTGCTGTAGTTATAGTCACATTCGCTGGCCAGCACTGTTCCAATGAGGCAAGCTCCTCTAAAAAGACCTTACTTTGATACATGCTAGTTTCCATGAGTAGGGGGACCACCAAAAAGACGCCAACATATTTCAGCCGATATTATGGAGACTCCCAAAACGGGGCCCCTAATATTTGAAAGGCATCCCTGCCCGCATCTGAAGCTGAACCGAGGTCTGTGCGGCTGGCGAGGCAACGGAGGTCAAGGCTGAGAGTGATGCTGCAATCAGTGTGTGTCGTGATGGGCTGGCCTCTGAGTTGGCCACCTATGTACTTAGACCCTCCTCCTACCCTTTATTAGGGCCTAAGTACCCACTATAAGGGACCATATATCCCCAATTTAGGGTACAAGGAAGGTCCTGGTAGTTTCCTGGGGGGATTATTGTAATTCAGCCAGCAATGATATGATGAGTAAATTACTTGTTGTGGTTCTTTGCAGCCCTGCTTCAGACATGAAAAGTGTCCTGCTTGTTTGGCAGCCATCTTTGGGTCAGCACCTTGCAACGGATTCTTGAACCACCGTCTTTGAAGTCATGGCCCGCTATGCGCAGAACACCACCATTGGCACCACCTGCCCCTGGGGCAGCGGCGACGCCAGCCTCCCGGATGCGTTCACCCTCGCCGAGATGAAAGCGGCAGGCCGCAGGCAGTCCAAGGAGGCCATTGTGACGGCAGCAGCGCCCCAGGTCCAGGAAATCCCAACCCTGGCAATCCCAGAGCCCTC